TGGTCCCCTTGGCTGGGAAGACAAGGGGACCTTCCTACAAAAGGGTTCCCCACTGTCTGGACCTTTACTCCTTTTGGAGTTCATGGAAAACAAAATTAACCACAAGAGGGACTTTCTGCATAGGGAATAGGGTGAGCAATGTGAATGACCACCAATATCATCAAATGAGCCTTAATGCAGTAAGACTCTGCAAAAAATGGAATTTGTTGATACAGGGGCAGTGACAAGTTCCCCCACAGCAGTGGGCTACTAAGTTAGGAAAAGTTCAGAGCGATGAGAGCGTTGCCTGCACACTCTCAGAGTCCACACTGGTACCACTGCTGTCCCATTTTCAATTTTCTATTTCTGCCAGGAAGATTACGAAAAAATGAAAAGCTGAAATTCCACTTTTACAATTCAACTCCAAAAGAAGACCTACAGCATGAGGCTTGTACTGTCAATTCGCATATACATATCAGTGCTAATTTTTTCTCTTTTCTACTTGATCAACACTGTAGGGATACTCTTCCTCTGCCTTCACTTACTGACTTCTTGGGGCTCAAGGTCACTCATTGACTTTTCATGTTTATGGACACTCAGTATAACTGATTTAAAACCACAATTTAATTCTTCCTTAGAGAACTACATTTTTCTCCCTAGGCTTTCACCTGTCCTACAGAAAAGCTATACTTGGTGTGCACAAGCAGTGTAAGCTGGTGTATGACTTCCCCCAACATCCCTAAAGAGCATACGCTCTTCCCTGCACTACAACCAGTGAGGCACCAGCCAGGAGGAGTGTTTTCATGTCTTGTGTAATGATGCACAGCAAACCATGATATAATTCTGTATATGACATGCTCATAAATGAACACCCGGATATTTGAAGCAATCCATCACTGGATGAGGAAAAGATTGTTCATAAAAAGATAATAAGCATTTTTGGAACTGAATAAAATAACCAGTAATCATCAAGAAGCTTTCTTTCAGATTATGCTGCCTGTATTCATATTGAATAAGGTCTTTTTATATTGTGCTGCTTAACATACATGGCACAATCTTCCAGTAAGGTGTTAAGCAGGAAATGTTAGACCCAGATCTAATCCTGACTTCACTATTATGTAAATTAAAATAGACAAAACCTTAAAAGGAACAAAGGGCTTTCACGTGCAATGATTCCTCCATAGAACTGGCAGGTTCTCAACATGCCCTAGAATATGGTCCATTAAAAATCCACTGAGAGAAAGAAAAGAGAATTTACAAAGCCAATTAACTATTTCAATAGCAAGACTGGAAAATGTAAATGTCAACATAAAAAGAAATTACAGTTTTAAAATCCACTCCCTATAAAAACCTATTTATATACTAGAATATTTTCAAATTTTGTTTTATTACCTCAGTAGGAACTCAGAAAATGTCAAACAACTGAATAGGCAAATAATATGGCCATTATGTTCACAGTCTACAAGCAATCTTGGCTTGAAATACTAAGATGCAATCATTACCTACTTAACACAGCTATCTGCTGTATTTCTAAGTCACCAGCTACTGCAATATTCAGACATGAAAAAATGTTTTCTCATTACGCAATGTCCTTAAATCAAAAGATCTCGTCTACATGACCTTAAACAAACAGATGTTATGTAAAGCCACTCACTAAAATACTGGGTTTTTTTTAACCTCAAAATAACCATGACACTGAAGTAAATGCTATTTAGTTCTTTGCGAAGTCAGTTCTGATATCTTTAATTTCACTGGAATATTTTCTATACAGCCAAAAAGGAAACTGCAGTATTACAGGAGACAAATTGTATTCATTTCCATAACATTTGATGCTTAACTCCTGTGAGGCAAATCCTTTGAAATCTCCCACAGCTTTACTCCTGCTTGGGAACATAAGATTCTTTGTAAAAATAAGACTTACTGTTTTCAGTGGGGAATTTTTAGAGGAGAATCTATGAAATAATCCTACAGAGAGACAAAACACCTACACCATTATTTGACATGGTAACTTCTGCATCATAAGTTTCCAAAAAAACATCAGTGTACCAAATAACCTAAAATTAAGACAAAGCAGGTTCTGAAAAGAACTGATCTAAATGCAGAAGAAAAGGCAGAATTGTTATCAGTAAAGAGCAAATTTAGAGCAGGAGCAAATCAAGCTAGTGAACTGGCAGAGCAAGGTTCTTGTAAAAGCTGCAAGAATGTGATTTTGAGAGAGTAAAGCAATTAGGAAGTGCCTAAGTGCAACTGGAGGTGACCTGTGCAGGCAAGACTTTTCATTAGCAGATTAAAAGGGGAATGAGAACCGTGATGATGAAAACAAAGGCACAACCCACAGGTAGAATAGATGAAAGAATGAGCAAGTCTACTAGACAATGATGGAAAGGTTGCTGCGCTTAAGAAGGTCAAGGGGGACATCAACAAGCACAGCATAGGTATGAGTGAAGATGAAATCACAGGAAGCAAAAGCAGTGGAAGTCATAGGGATAAGGAGATTGACATAACAGAAAGGGGATGGAGGAGAGAATGGAGAACTAAGTCTTGATTATGGCAGCAATAAAGCCTCAGATCCAGAGATTCAGTTCTTCAAGGACATTATTATCCTAGACTATGGGTGATGAAGATGGTGGGTTCCAGGCTGGGGGACAGTAGGAAAAGGAGAAATTACTTCAGAAAAGTGACAGTATTTAGAGAAGCACAGTGTTGAGGTTAAATGTGTGATACTGGTCTGTTTGCCTCACTAAGGACAGAAATCCAAATGCTGATAATTTATAGAATTACATTATCAAATCTGAATTTACACATTAATATAAAAAAATGAGCTCTGTTTTGGTATTTCACATGCAGGTTTTTTCAAAGGAACACACCAGCAACCCTGAACAAATGTAATTCATATAGGAATTTGGGGGAACTAGAAAAAGCAAAAGAATAATTTCTCTAAAATTATCTCTACCCATAGAGCTGGCTATCTACTGTGATGGTGGCTGTTTCCTCTTTATATATTCTAGATACATCAAGAGCTTAATGGCTAAGCAGTCTCCTAGAAGGCTGTCTTAGGTTCCTCCTCAGCCTGATGGCATCCAAACCACAAGCCTTACAGCCCAAGTGTATTTTTCCTGCATACACACAATCCATACCACTAAAGAATCAAGCAAGAAATTGCTTGTAGAATATAATACTTATATATTTTTATATATATAATATATATAATATACATTTTTATACATATATAAAATATCCCAGCCAGGGAACAACAGAATACATATCTGCACCTTCACTTACAAATGCTTTAATCAACAGATAGACTACAAAGTCATGATTCCTTTAGATCATTCCTTCTATGTGCATTTCTTGCATTTTGACAGCATGTGACTTCCTATTTTCTGTCTGCAAATCATAATGATATTAGATACATATCTCCAAAAGGCAGCTGCTGTTACCCAGATTACTCCACCCCATAAGTACTCTCCTTCTAGTGAAGAAGGAAACTAAATCTGTCTCCCAACTTTCTGGACACATACTTAAAATACTAGGTACTTTAGGAATATGCATTGTCCTTTAAACTCACCAAAGAAAGTATCACATCCGAAGATGTGAAGCTTGCAGTACTTTAAGCACCCAACTCTGCATCTCAATAGGGGAAATGTGGGCAAAGGAGAAGGACCAATTGCAGCTGTGATCTTACACATGTGAATTGTGCCCAAATCCCACTCAGACACAAACATGCTAATTTGGATCTTGCCACTAATTCTCAAAACAACAAATAATAAAGAAAAATGACCACACTCCCTTGTTTTATTAAGATGAGGTGTTTTTTAGTATTACATGGTTTAGAAGGTTTTAGGTTCTTTTAACTATTTCAAAATATATATGCAAGAGTTATTTCATTGGTATTATTCTGGATAAATTATTACTTCATTCTGATTGCTAGATGAAATAGAAAAATAATACATTTAGTTATTGATAATGCCAAATACAGCACAGATTTCCTAGCTTCAGTAACTCAGGGAAGAAAAAAAATTGGACAAATCTCCTCTGTTTCTAAATTTATTTTTCCTATGTCTTCAAGTGAGAAAGAAATTCTAGTTATCTCATATTCTCGTTAGGAGATGGGATGAATCCAGAGAGGCAAGGTGCTACCAACTGCTATAAGAAGGTTATACAGAATGTAGACAAGAAGCTCAGCTGATGGAACCCTGAACACACAGTCATGGTATAATGTTCACCTGATAGTATGTTTGCTAAAAAAAACCCCAACCCACCAATCAAACCAAAAATACCCCAAACCAAACAGTTTGAAAACTACTGTTCTGTGGCCTTCTGTGGCTTCATCAAGTAAGTAGTGTTGTCAAACCCTGTTATTGTGGTTTCTATTCAGAGTGATGTATAAATCTAACTCCTAGTAATAGTATATTATAACTGACAAAGTTTAGTAAGTTTGGAAGCCATTCAAAAGTGAAATCCAAAGAAACAGCAGTACTTAATCAGAAAAAATGTATACAATCCACTGCAAACCACCTTTGAAAAATGCCCCAAAGAATTCGATATTACTGCAAAACATAACACACAAATGCCAATTAAAAATGTCTGAAATGCAAACAAAAGGCTTTATTCCCAAACTGCAGACTTCAGTTACCGTTCTTGGAAACACAGGAGTATCAAATTATCTACTGTAAGTCTTCACCAAATTCCCCAGTTGAAAATAAACATGCAGACAACTATTAAAAAAAGTCTTTTTAAAACTAGTGAGGGCCAGAACTAGAAAGTTCACATACATTTTTCTTCCTCCGGAGGATGTATTAGTATGCAAAAATTCATAAATACACTCTTTATTTTGGGTTTATTTTCTCTTATCAACTCACATCTCCCAATATCTAAGTAAGAAGTTGAATGTAACCATACAGTTAAGGCTTATAACAACACTGCATATCTCCTTTTTCTCTTTTTTTTTTTTAATTTCTTAATCTATTATTTAAGTAGATTTTAAACAAATATTAAAATAAACGTTATTTATAGAAAAAAGTTTAGATTTCCTCATCACAGATTTAAGAAACTCTTCTGAGTACCTGTTTGTTTTTTTCTTCCTGCCTTTTTTTTTTTTTTTTTACTGTGAACAATTGCATAAGATCAAATGTCTCTGTTCCTTAGGAGATCATCTGCTCCTGCTGCTCATTTACCATCTGAAATCATAATCATCTGCTGGTGACAATCTAATCATCTTCACAGTAACTAATTGTGATGTCACAAACAAATGATTATGATTTCAGGTGGTGAACAAACAGCAGGAGCAGATGTAATCTGAAGAACAAAGACTGTAAAGTCATGCATGAATCTCTAGTAATAAAATGTTAGGGAAGAAAAACAAAGAGCCTGTCCTTTACAGAGAGGTAGGACCGCTCTGACTGTATTTTATTTTATTCTTATTAGTTTTTCAACTTTGTGACTACCCAAATTGCAGGAAACAGATAAAAGAAAACTATACTAGGGAAATTTAAGGGTGGGGAGTATATAAAACCAGTTAGGGTCATTTTTTCCTTCTAAGAATTCTAATATATAAAACCACTGTTACTTTTTCCTTTTATTTTTATGTATTTTTGTTTCTCATAGCTCATCTACAGCTTCTCCTAGAAGACATACTGTATGTTTGTCTTGTCCCATCCAGAAATATAAAACCAAAGTAAGTTCCCAACAAAATGCACTTTGCATTAGGATTGTTTATTTGTTTCCTGTTTGTTTTTTTTTTGTTGATAACTCCCTAAATTAAACCCAGACTGATAAATGAGCATTCTGTTCACAGTAAACATCTCCTGTATGGGCTGCAAATGCTTGTGGTCTGCACACAGTGTCTCCATGTCTTCTCCAGAAGCATCAGGGAGAAAACCCCCCACTCAATGTTATTGCTATTTCACATGTGAAAAAAGTCTAAGATATCCCAAACCAAGAAATAAATAGCTTCTTGCTTCATCTTTAAGATTGTGAAATGAAGAGGAAAGGTAAAGAAGTAAACCTGTCAGAAGGAGCTTTGCCAGTGAGTAGGAGGAACAGAAGTGAAGTTTGCTGCTAAAGTATCTTCAAAAGTAACACAATAGAGGTGAGCAAGAGGAGTTGATTTTCAAGGATATTTAATAGGGAATACTAAAAATGCATCGACTGTAGGGTATTTCTCAGCAAAACCGAACCACATGAGGCTACAAGGAAATCTGTTCTACTGTACTAAAATATGATTGTTATGATTTTTGTTTTACTGTATTAAAGTATACAACTTCACTTTACTATTCCAGTTTTATTTCACACAGTTTCAGATGGAAACTGTATTATGCACACAAAGAAAGAGTATCTGCCTGCAAAGGGAAACTCTAATAGAGTGCCAATTGATACAGCAGATTCACACTTCTATCAGAAAGGCCATTTTAGTTTAGAAATACCTAGAGAGGTTTCAATGAGAAACTAAAAAGGAAGACCTATTAGCAATTTATTCAGGAAGAAATGATACCACATTCAGAGAAGAAAAATGTTTTTCTAGGTCTTCCATGAATCATGGATGAAATTGCAAGGTGAAGAAAGACTGGTCTGGTCTTTACATAACTGTTACATATTCATCCTCCTCTTATGACTTTATCACAGAAAAATCACAGTTAAGCTGTAAGTTTTAAAGAAAATACCCTAAAAGAAAAAGGCTCTTTAGAGGTGAAGAGTTAAAAAAATCAGTAAAAAAATATATGCCTGTTGGTAACATTTTGGATTCAAACCCTCCCTGTTTTGCAAAAAGATAGCACAGTCCCTATGAAATTAAAAATGATACCCTTTTATCAGCTGTTTATTATTAATGCTGCCTCTAGATTGGAACCCTCAAAAAGGAGTTAGGGGATTAAGCACAGTGGTGTCTGAACAGGACTATGAGAAATAAATGCTGTGTCTATCAATATGATAGCCACATCTTCTTTGATTTCCAATTTACCTGGAGATCAGAAGAATGTAAATGAAAGCATCTAGAAATATCTTTCATGCATTAGAAAAGCACCCCAGAATGAAAACCTGTTTCTGTATCATCGCCTGTGGTGGCTGCAAAAAACATCTGTGAGCAGGTCAATCTGTGAAAAACAAGTTCTTTGGTCAGCACAGGTTTAAGATTATTTTTGTGTTGATCTTGTCTCCTGTTGAGTGAGTTTGCCTTTGTGTTTTCCTTCTGGATTTGGAGTCACATGTATAACTGCCAAAGTTTTCTTGCCAGATGAAGCCTGGGAAAAGGATTGTTTTTTCTTGTTGGTGTAGTAGATTGTTGTGATGTCATCTATAAATATATCTGCTACAGGACACTGCAGTGATAGGAGAGAAAAGCTAGATGCCTTATTCTGCTGTTCCAAACTCCCGTATGTTAATGTTTAAAAATGTCAGCATTTGAAGATGTTTCAGAGGCCATATCCTTAGAGATTTTGACAACACAAACAGAAATCACTTAGAATGGGATTGATGGGGATTGACGGTAGGGCTGGAAGGAAGCAATTAATAAGAAGGTCTTAGAACCCGTAGAAACCTTCTTTTCAGGGAAGCACAATGACATGTGCTGAATCCATGAGTAATTGAATACTAGCAAACTTTTCTGTAAGTTGAAGCAGAAATTATTTCCCAGATCTGACTGGAAATTCTGCATGTATACTGGAACAATACTGAATCCCCTTAAAATCTGTTCTTAGGACCATGTCCTTCAGACATATATAGACAAAAAATGGAAGGCAGCTTATGTGTGTGTCCATCTCTAGTACAATCCGTAGTTAAGGGAGATGATGTTTAGGGCTCTCTAAGAAGTCCAAAACTAAACACAGTTCAAGAGAAGAATTCAGTGCTCATGGAAAAGTGAAGGAAGTACTATTGAAACATTATCTTTACCACCCTAACCAGCAAAACCATAGCTATAAGGTCACAAAGGTTTGTCCTATTCATTACCTGTTGCAATAAAACTGAATTTGGTCTTCACCAACAAGGTCACTTGGTCCTTTGTGTCTTCAGACATGGCTCAAGGAAGAAAGGAATTACCAGTAGCAGAACCTGATCAGCGTCAGGGATGTCTTGAGAAATTTTCATCCCATACAAGTCTATTGGACCAAATGGGATATATCTTAGTGTGCTGAGACAACGAGCTTATGTCATTGCAAGGCCACTCTATTATCTTCCAAAATGTCATGGAGATCAAGAGAGGTCTCCAACGCCTGGAGAAAGGCATCATCATCAAAAAAAAGGCAGGCTGGTCAGCCCCACTTTGTCCCTGGGAAAATCATGCAGTAATTCCTCTTAAAGCCATTGGTGGGCACACAAACAGAAAAAAAAAAAAAAAAGCCATTGGGAACAATGGGCATGAATTTATCCAGGATAAAAAATAGCCTAAACAGCCTGATAACCTTTGTGATAAGATGACTGGATTTATGAACGGAGGACAGTGGATGTTATTTACCTTGGCTTTAGCAATGTTTTTGACATTGTGCCTCCCTCAGCACCCTTGTATCCAAGCAATGATGTTAGAATCTAGATAGATGAATTACTAGATGATGAAAATCTGTTTGGATGATCAGGCTTAGAGGACAGTGATATGCTGTGAGGGACCCAACAGCAGCCTTCCAATACCAAAAAGAGGTTGCCGAACAGATGGAGCCAGGCACATTACTAAGGTATGTAGAAGAAGAACAGGAGATGACAGTCATAAACAAACAGAAGACGTTATGATTTGGATAAAAGGAAAACAAATCAAAGTGAAGATAATTAAGCACTGGAACAGGCTGCCGAGAGAAGCAATGGAATCTCTGTCCTTGGAGAACTGGAAAAAAAAAGACATAAGCAACCCTGTCTGAACTCTGTACTGACCCTGCTTTGAGTGGGCAGTTTAGATGACCTCCAAAAACTCCTTACAACCTGAAGGATTTTATGATTCAATGACTAAATAAAAATCTCCTTGTTCCTGCACTCATTCATACCTACACTCACAGGGAGGACACTCAGGACTTAATTCACCTAATTGCAATAAAAGCCCTAAAATATTTACAAAAAGCATTTCAATTGTCTCTAATAATCCAATTCCTACACAGACAAAGAAAACTAAGTATAAATATAAATTTAGAAAGCAATACTTACTGTTACTTGTTGGCTCAGGAAACCCAACATTCTGGCCGTTCCAACTCTTGTTTTCTCCAAGCTGAAACAGGTAGAAAAAAGACAAATAAGTAAAGAGCAAACTACTCCTTATACAGAACATTCATGTTTATAAATTAGTTGAAAGATCCTAAAAAGGATGACTTGGAATTGCCACATCTGCTCACAAAATTTTGTTAAGACATCTTAATTTTTGTCTAAAAGAGGTTCTTTGAGAAATGTACCCTTCATGAATAAACATTAACAACTATTGCCTAACACTGAAATATAAATGTTTCCCCAAGGATTAGGCTCAACTCAATGTTACCAAATCAGACTTAAAATCAAATGTTTTATGCAGCTCTCAAGTGAAAACATAGACATACAAGAGAGAAATTATATTCTAAAATGAGAAGATCCTAATATCTGTCTATGAAAGAATGCATAAACACTACAAAGTATTTTGGGTATAATTTTAAAATATTTACTTGCTAGGAATACTTTTAGTTACTGAAGTGGACGCAAAAAAAAAAAAAAGATTACAATTTTCCATTTGATTTTAATACACAGACTTTTTTGAGGAAGCTAATTGCCTTCAAATTAATTACATTATGTTTAACACCGGGAATTACTCTGACACAGAAAGGGAGCAATTAACACAGATGTTAAAAATGGAGCCATTCCTGAAGTCTCCACAGTAATTAAGATGGCAGTGTTCTAGAGTTGTGTCAATGCGGACAAAACCATCCAAGCTTTCTCATGAAATAGGAGCTATTGACAGTCAGCTCTATGAATGCGAAGCGAATGACCCTTTTCAGATTTCACTGGGGTTACCCCTTGTCCTACCCTTATATGACCCTGTAAAAAGTCCCTGTCCCTACAAGCTTTCTTGTAGGCCCCCTTTAGGTACTGCGAGGCTGCTCTATGGACATGGAGACTCCTGGAGACTTCTCCATGCTGAACAAGCCCAACTCTATCAGCCTGTCTTCGTAGGAGAGGTGCTTCAGTCCTCTGAAGGACTGAAAGGTCCTATGAAGCACCTTTGTGGTCCTTCTCTGGAGTCTCTGGACTCACTCCAACAGGTCCGTGCCTTTCTTATCTTGAGGACACCAGAACTGCACACAGCACTCCAGTATAGGGGGAGAATCACCTCCCTCGACCTGCTGGTCACACTCCTTTTGATGCAGCACAGGATACGGTTGGCTTTCTGGGCTGCAAGCACACACTGATGGCTCATGTTGAGCTTCCCACTGACCAACACCTCCAAGTTCTTCTCCTCTGGACTGCTCTAAATCCATTCTCTGCCCGGCCTGTATTTGTGTTTCTGGTTCCCCACACTCACATGCAGGACCTTGCACTTGGCCTTGTTGAACATCATGAAGTTCACCCACCTCTCATGGGTGTCAAAGTCCCTCTGGATGGCATTCCTTCCCTCCAGCATGTCAACCGAACCTCACAGCTTAGTGTCATTATCAAGATTGCTGAGGATGCACTGAATCGTACTGTCCATGTCACTAACAAAGATGTCAAATGTTCCAGTACCAACCCCTGATGAACGCCACTTGTCACTGGTCTCCACTTGGACATTGAGACACTAACTGCAACTTTGAGTGCAGCCATCCAGCCAACTCCTTATCCACTGAGTGGTCCATCTGCCAAATCCATGTCTCCAGTTTAGAGACAATGATGTCATGCAAGACAGTGTCAAATGCTTTGGCAAGCCCAGGTAAATGATGTCAGTCACTCTCCTCTTATCCACCAACACTGTAACCCCATTGTAGAAGGCCACTAAATTTGTCAGGCACAATTTACCATTAGTGAAGACATGTGGGCTTCACCAGTCACTCCTTTTTCCCATATGCCTTATCATAATTTCCAGGAGGATCTGCTCCACAATATTCCCAGGCACAGAGATGAGACTGACTGGCCTGTAGTTCCCCATATCTTCCTTTTTTATTTCTTAAAAAATGATGTTATATTTCCCCTTTTCTGGTCGGAAAAGAGACTAGGCTGCTATGACTTCCCAAATATGATGGACAGTGGCTTGGCCATTTGAAC